TTCAAGGTGGTTCAAGGAATTTATGGAGAGGCTTGTGTGTGTTCCCAGTGGGTTATTGCAAGGTAGGAATTATTGGATGGACTGCACCTCCCAGTGTTCTGTGCTATTAGAGATGCAGGTGTAGGCTGCTGGGAATTGCAGTCCAACAACATCTGGAGGACCACACAATTTCCACACATTTTGAATGAGATTTTTGGTATTTAATGTGATGAACTGGAGATTAAATGGTAGACACTGATCATTCAAAGAGCACATCCACATTGATTTAAACAGACCAGAAAGTCCTAGATTTTGTCCCTGTTCTTTCCAATTTTATGTTGAAGATCCATACATATTTGGGTTATCCCAGATTATTTTCTGTCTGCTCCCAGTACCATCAGAGACTTTTTATACCAGCACCTCTAGTTGGTTTATTATTTTATTATTTTCAGGCTGAGTCTCTCATATCCAAAATCTGAAATGGTCCAAAAAACCCAAAAGATTTTTCATGGATGGCAGAGAGAGTGTCACTTTTGCTTTCTGGTTGTTCAGTGTACACCAAGTTTGTTTGATGCACAAAATTATTAAAAATATTAAATATAAAATTACCTTTCGGCTATGTATATTGAGTATATATGAAACATAAATGAATGTCATGTTTAGACTTGCATCCCATCCCCAAGTCATTTTATTATGTATATGCAAATATTCCAGAATCTCATTTTATTATGTATATGCAAATATTCCAGAATCTGAAATCCGAAACACGTCTGGTCCCAACCATTTTGGATAAGGGATACTCCCTGTATAAAACTGGAAAGAACAGGAACAAACTCTAACACTTTTCAGTCAGTTTGGATGCACTCTAAAGCAGAGTTCAGGAACATGTGGCCCTTCAAATATTGCTGGACTACAACTCCCATCTTGCCTCACCATATGCTATGCTGGATGGGGCTGATGAGAGTTGAAGTCTAGCAACATCTCAAGAACCATGTGTTCCCAAGTCCAATTCTGAAGAAAAATAACAATGATGTTTGGAAATATAGCAGAATCCAAAACAAAACATGTTGTGCTGATACCTTTAATAGGCCATCCAATAGGCACAAGGTACAGTATGCAAGCTTTCGGAGTTTGCAGGCTTCTTCATCAGGCCAGGATGTTGAAAGGAATTTTAGGAGGAAAAAAAGTTTGATGGTGGAGAGATACAGAGCATCTTTCTTGAAGCTGAGTTTAAGCTGGTAGTTGAGGGTGATTTGATGCAGCTAAAGGCCACACCGCTTGCTAAAATTTGGAACAAGCAAGACAAGACAGCAAAAGGTGGTGGCCTTTGAACATCCATGCCTGATGAAGAAGCCTGTGAGCTTCGAAAGCTTGCATAATGTATTTTGCTCCTTTTGATTAGTCTAATAAAGCTATCATTGCAATGTGGGTTTGGGGTTTTCCTGTATTTCGCTGCACGACTGACACAGCTCCCCCATATTATACACACACACACACACACACACACACACACACATATATATTGGATTTAATCACCTTCCAGTCGAATTTCCCTATGTTATATTGTCAGAAAAAGTCAGTACATCCTTTAAAAACAAATAGAATGTTATTGTAGAAATATGAGGAAATGTTTTTCATTTCTAGACACTCTCTTTTGCACTTTTTAAGTGGAAGTGGCAATGGGATGTGGATCTTGATACACAAGAGTTGGGCTGGCCGGTGGAAATGATCCAGCTCTACCTTGACATGTTGAATTATATGTGCTGTGTGAAACTGATTTCTCAGAATTTCTTTAGATTGGTTTGTTTTCATTAATGCCTGGTTTGAGTTTGTGAATAGAGAGCATCCCGTGTTGTGCTTTCTTCCCAGAAAATGAGAAGGTCTACCCAGGAAAATTGGTTTTAAAGGTCCAGTTGAGATGTGTATGTGTGTGTTGTGTGCTTTCAAGTTGTTTCCAACTTAATCATGGGGTTTTCTTGGCAAGATTTTTTCAGAGGTGGTTTGCCATTGTCTTTGCTCTGAGGCTGAGAGAGCGTGACTTGCCCAAGAACACCCAGTGGGTTTCATGGCTGAATAGGGATTTGAACTTTGATCTCCAGAGTCATAGTCCTGCATTCAAATCACTACACCACACCGGCTCTCATGACTACAGTTTGACTCTTCCTTATCCAAAAATGTGAAATACTCCAAAATCCAAAATTGTCCACATGGGTGGCTGAGATAGTGATGCCTTTACTTTCTGATGGTTCAGTGTACCCAAACTTGGTTTCATGCACAACATTATTAAAAATAGTGAGTATGAAATTACCATCAGGCTAGGTGTACGGTCGGCTCCCTGTATCCACGGATGTTGCAATTGCAATCGCAAGTACATTTCTATACCGCTTATCCATGACCTAAGCGGTTTACAATGTGTAAGCCATTTGCTCCCAATTGCATCCATGGATTCAGCCATTCATGGCTGGAAAATATTTTTTAAGAAACCCAAAAGCAATCCTTGATTGCTCAAACCACTACGGCTGCTAGGAACGAATAGCATTGCATGCTCCTCTTTGTTTATTCCATATTGATCATATGCTTCTTTACTTCTGTGCCTCTGTGTGTGTGTGTTGGGAATGATGGTACACTCTTAGTTATTATTATCATTGTTGCTGTTGTTGTTATTATTATTTCCTTTAAAAAAATCAGGTAAGTGCTTTCCTCAATCCTGGCATGTTCCTGAACATGGTGTGGTTAAAAAATGCATTTGGTGCCCCCAAGGACTTCTTCAAATGGCTTGGCTCCTGTAAGAGACGAAACCAGCAGAGGAGTGAGTACGCTCTGAACTTTGGTACGTGAGCCTCTATGGAGAATGGCAGCAAAAGTACAGAAGCACTTAAAAATGACGTCTCCATTACACGCCGCTTCGTTAATTGGAATACTTACTTGTGCGCTTCCTTCGCTTTTTTTACGGGGGGGGGAAGGCATTTTGCAAGGCTGGGCAGATGGATGCTCTGGCCGCTGGCCAAGGGTTTTGCCTTGTGACCTGAGTAATTGAGGAGCTGGTGCACATGCTTTCTCCCTTTGCTAACTGAAATATTAAAGAGCAGTTGAAGTTGAATTTGGTAAACAGGAGGGGATTTATGGCTCGTCTCTTCCTGTCAAAGCTGCTCTCGTGATTTATAGTATTCGAGCCGTTGGAGCAAAGTGTTTTCCTGTCATGCCGCCTTGCTGGACTTGGGACTCTTTGTCATTCCAATAACATTCATACCTTGTATTTATAGGGTGCTTTTGTGTGTTGTTGTTGTTGGTTGTCGTCGTGTGCCTTCGAGTCGTTTCTGAGTTATGGCGACACTAAGGCCTGGGACCAGAAGTGTTTTGGATTTCGGAGTTTTTCAGATTTTGGCATATTTGCATATACATCATGAGAGAGCTTGGGGATGGGACCCACGTCTATATCTAAAATTCTTTTGTGTTTTATATATACCTTGGACATGTAGCCTGAAGGTGATTTCGTATGCAATATTTTTAAATGTATGCCTGAAACAAAGTTTGCATCTTTTCACACAACCGAATGCCCATGCCTTAAAAGAAGTAATATACAGTCAACCTGTCATAGGTTTTTTTGCAAAGGCAAGATTTTTCAGAGTGGGTTTGTCATTGCTTTCCTCTGAGGCTGAGAGAGTGTGACTTGCCCTAAACCATCCAGTAGTTTCTGTGGCTGAGTGGGGTTTGAACCCTGGTGTCCCAGAATCATAGTCAAACACTCAAAACCACTATACTACACTGCCTCTCCTAGGGTTTTCTTAGCAAAATTTGTTCAGAGGACAAAGAATGTGTGACTTGCCCAAGGTCACCTAGTAGGTTTCCATAACCGAACAAGGATTCGAATCCTGGTCACCTGGAGTCTGGGTCTAACACCCAAACCATTACACCATGTTAGTTCTTGCTTTTTTAGGTATGCGCCTTCAAGTCTATTGGCGTACGGCAACCCTGTGAATTTCATAGAGTTTTCTTAGAGGAAAACTCAGAGATAGTTTCTCATTCATTGCCTTCCTCTGAAATATAGCCTCCAGCACCTGGTGTTCATTGGCAGTCTCCCATCCAAGCACTAACCAACCTGACTCTGCTTAGCTTCCTGGATCAGGAATAAGAGAGGATCTGGTTTGCGCCTTCACAGTTTGTAGATCTTAGGGTGCTTTTCCCCAGTTCAAAAAGTCCTTTCGCACAACTGA